AAAAAAAAAAAAAAAAAAAAAAAAAAACAGTTTATAACTGTAGACTCTTAGAGGGCACTCAGGAAAAATAGGGCCCCTTAAGCAACCTTGTAAATGACCCTGACAAAAAAATAAATCAACGGCAACGCCCTTGTAAGTTCAAAGTGACCCCCTCACTAAAAATAAATGCAAACCACAAAAAAGCCCTCAAGCCTAAGACGAGCAAATCGCCACACACAATCTCAACTGTTAGATGAGATCCCCATCCGTTACCTAACAGCTTGAGGGTTGTACCATCTGGTCTATACTATAGACTATAGACTATAGTACTTTATTCAGACCTACGCTAATCTATGGAATAGTATGGATACATTATCTAACAGCTTGAGAGTTGTACCATCTGGTCGATAGTACTTCGTTCAGACATTTATTCAGACATTACCTAAAATTGCAATTACAGAAGAGCGGGACGAATGCAGCCCAGCTGACCGCTGTGTCACCCATTCAGACTGAATCGGACACAGTCAACACGAACTTCACGAAGGGAAAAAAAACAAAAGAGCGGAAATGAGTCGACTGTACGCAAAAAAAAAAAACATGAATAAGAAGAATAAAAAGGTTACCTTTCCGCAACACCAAGACGATTACCACAGCCTGGCAGGAAGCCAAGAGAGAGAGAGAGAGAGAGAGAGAGATGACCAGAAACTCCCTCAGATCAGATTCGAGGATTTAATCCCCCATCGATCCGACGGCCTATTTTCGAGCCCGCAAATGTGTTGCAGACGGATCGGATGGGTATTATCGACTACTGTCGAGTCTCTGTCAACAGAGGAATGCATTGCGCATTGCATGCGTTCATCCATATCTTTCTGGGCGAGAACCAAAGTTCAATCCACAGCCAAAATTTTTGTCCTAAAAGTATTCATGTCCGAAGCGCACCCGCTCCTCGTTCGTCCAACACCGGGCCATCCAGCACAGGCATAGGCAGACTCGCCTGCTGGCCTCGGGCGTTTCCCCCGACATCACCATCGTGTACCAACGACGCGTTCAGCAAGTCTACGACACCACAATGCGAAGCCCATAGTGCCTCGTACGCATCCAGAAGAAGATTCATTAACGCCGTACTCTGCGACACTACGGGTAGCCGCCGGACCTCAATCATTTCTTTTGCAGACAGAGCATGGAAAGTGACATTCAGCATGAGAGATTCTAAATGCAGTAGCCGCTCGGGAACCTGCAGCGACAAAAAACAACCAAGGGAAAAAAAAAAAACAAAAAAAAAAACGGAATTTCAGTGCAAAAAAAAAACCGGAAAAAAATTAAAAATTTCAAATAATAAAATTAAAAAATAAAAGATAAAATAAATAGAAAAAGGAAACAGTACCGACGGGCCTAAGAAAGTTAATACACTAATGAACTGTTGAAATACAGACCTGAATTCGAACTCCAGTGGAAGCAGAATCATCAGATGTGTAAAACACTCACTACATTTCTCAATCAGCAGAATAAGCAGAGTCAGTTCGATGACGTTATAATAGATATACCAAGGCTGCCGCGCGTAAACCACCACTACCCCGGAGCCTCTGTTTGCCGAGATGGAAAACCGATGAGCGCCAAGATTTGCTGAAGCGCCAGCACAATTTTTTTTTCGGCTCTCAACCACACAAATGTGGCCAACCTTGCATCTTCTAGACTTCTACTACATTGCCTATCTTATATCTGTACATTTTATATTGTTTCATAAATGGTTTCTGAAATTCTGATGATTTGTGGATGGAATGACAACAGCGAGTTTGGAGTTCTTTGAACTCTCTCTCTCTCTCTCTCTCTCTCTCTCTCTCTCTCTCTCTCTCTCTCTCTCTCTCTCT